GGTCTCTGCTTCACAATTCGGCTTTCTTAGTGTCATGTCTAGAAATCAGCAGCACACGAACTTCCCGTTTTCATCACTCTTAAAATCCCTGCTCAATCTACGACCCCTTAACTGGCATAACATTAAAATCACTTAACCGTGTCCAGTTCTGGACAGTCATCAGTATCGCTTGTGTGTGTATGTGTTTCGTGGCGTTGGGATTTTCCGTTCGAGAAAATCAAACACATCAGACACGAAAAACATAAATTTCAAGTTAAAATGACATGTCGTGAGTGAACTGAACAACAGCGAAAAAATGTAATGCGGGACAGACGACTATGGTGAAAAAGAAAGTTATTATTGATTGAGAATCGGTAAATGCATTGAGTGCTATTAATACACCTACTACTGGTGTGGCAACAAGTCTCCAAGTCTCAGGTGGACAAGTGGACAATGATTCGCCTTTTTTGGATGTTAGGTTGGTTTATTAAAAGCAACACCATGTGTAGGAGAGTCGAGGCAAAAAGCTTGTGTTTTGTCCGAGAAAAGCACGCGTGTGAAGGTTTTGCAGTCTGAGAAACATGAATGGGAATTCAGTGCGCAGAGTTTGTGCAACACAAGGAACACAGAAATGTGTGTACTCTGGTTCGAATCCGCAAGCGCGCCGAACCACCGTTCCTTCCGAATAAGGTAATAATAAGATAATTTTCACACAGACGTTTCTTACCGGATACCAACTGGAACCCATTTTTATAACAAAACGATGTCTATTATTGGTCTATTATTGGGAAAGGTAGCACACAGGGAATTTAAAGTCAACCGAATCTTAGGAAACAGCAGGAGTATCATGAACTGTGAATATGATAGTCTTTACAATATTGTTTTATATTCATTTTGGAAATGTGTACAGCTACCGTTGCTGTTCCGGATTAGGACTATGACCAATCAATGATCGTTCGGGAACACGGAGAAATGGAAATATGTAGTGGCGATGTTGGGTACATGACATCCGGACAGTTGTGATAGCCTCATTACCAATCACTTGATCATTACCGTTCACCTTTTGTCGTTCAACTATTGCAACGGGGGTGCTGGGTTTTGCATAGCCTCAACAACACGATAAATTGAACTTTAATGGAAATAAACCAAGTACAAATTAATGGGATCAGTGTTACACTCTTGGGGGTTTCACTGAGTCGGGAAAAATTGTCGCAAACGAGGACAAATGTGAATCCCCGGACCAGCGTGAAATCTGTGAGAATTGAGAACTCGCGTGCCTAATAAATTGTTTTTATTTTGGAATTGCAATTCAACCGGAATGACTTCAGTTGTATTGAATGAAATAAGTTTGATCGATTTCAAACCAGAATCCCACCACAGATCTCTTGTCCCGGCTAGTTGTACGATTCGACTGTGGTACCCAGCTGTGCCGGTGAACAACCAAATGGAGGATGTCTTTCGAAATTTTGAGCAACTTTTCGATGAGAAGAAACTAAACTTTTTAGGTCGATGAAATGGTCTGTTTCAAAATATTACGTCTATTCAATCGACAGACAGATAATCGCTTGCGAACTTATCTGACCCAATCCCCTACTCGCCATCACAATTGAGCACGAGGACAACAACTCACTAACCGTCCCCCCCCTCCCCCAACCCCATGTTGTCGTCTGGCAAACTTTCCACTTCAGTCGATAGATGGATGGACGGACGGATGGAGGAGGGGAGGGCCGGAGAACAAAGGGGACGTGCTTACTTCAATTGCTCGTATGCAATTTGCTCCGGTTTCTTCTCCGTACTGGTCGATACAGAGCCGGACAAATGCCGGGCACATAGCGAACGAAGATAGGCGGGGTCGGGAAAGGAAGTAGAGAGAGAGAGAGTGAGAGATAAACGGGAGTGAGAGATCGTGATTGTGAACAACACGTGACAGTCAAAATGTCGGTGAAATATGCATAAAAAAATTGTTAAATGATAACACTGAGCTCTTCAACTCTCGCTCTGTCTCTCTCTGAAACGCACCAAAACCCACGGAGCTCGACTTAAGAGAGCCGCGCCGAAACCAAAGAACCGAAAGATTATACCAAAAATGAAAGCTTTACTACAACTTCTGCGCTCAGAGTTTGACGTCATGCATGTGTCTAGTAGACCTTTGAAATCTGCCGTTCAAAGCGTCTACGACGTAGTAGACTCGGTGAAAGAATCATGAACTCGCTCCGCCAAATCTAGTGATGCACATATTTGTCCAAATAGTCCCACAGAGCAAATTTAAAACAGAACAACAGAGCGGCGAACAAGCTCGTTTTCAGATAATCGTATTCATGCTAATATATCAATATGTATGCACGAGTCTGGTGGGGTAACCGGATTAGCAATGGTAAGGTTAGGCGTAGAGTTTTAGGCATTCGTGGTTGTCCACTGGAGCAAGTGACCGACCTGCATAGGTTACGTTGGTTGTAGCATATGTTACGCATGTCACCAAATAGGTTACCGCGGCGAGCGATGTTTGTCAAGGCTGGTAGCTGTTGGAAAAAGATCAACGATGGTCAAACTAAGACCTGGGTATGAAAACCCTAACGAGGAGACATAGGCCCCCTCTGGCTCCTTGGCTGGGGACCTCGGGATGATGGTCACCGATGGTTAGAGACACTAAGTGATATGGCTGGGTGTCGCAAATAGTGGCGCACGTGCATCCACTCATTATTTCTTTGTCATCATTTTATATGCATTCTTGATCTTTCGCTTGAATTTGCTTTCAACATTCCAATCTTCACATTATGCTCTTTAATCCAAACTGAGCACCAAAAGACAGCAACCAAAACCGGGGCACAAAAATGCATTGTTAATGGTTGTAAAAACGGAAGCTGACTGTACTGGTTAATATTGCACACCGCAACCAACAAAAGTAACAAAAAATACGTCGGTTACGGGAAAAAATGAGCGATTTGGACGAGGAAGAGAGGGGAAAGATGGCATTTTTAGGGGAATCCTAATAGTTCAGGGCATGACCGACTGACTTTGTAATTTCCCACAGCGACGAATGGGTTTTCGTTGAGAACCCTAATCGTAGCCTTTGATACAAAACTCTTAATGGCAAGCGCATGGGGCGCAAATCGAACGCAGAGACGTAGCCGACTCATCATCCGTGTGTGAGCTTCTGCAGACCTATCCCGTAAAGCCATCAATTTTCGGTTTAGTATTTTATTCGGTGGTAACTTGACTGTCGGTCTGTCGTTCCGGATCAACCCCTAGTTTCAAGCAACGAATGAAAAGGGTGGAACTTGGGAGGGACAGCACTTTGGTTACAACAGACTGACCGATTCGGGCGAGCTGTAGGTACCCAAAGAAGCATGAGTGTGATCTCTTCATAAGTGAACGCAAACCGTTGACCATGTGAGACTAATCTTTCAGGCACGATTGGATTTACATCTGCGAGAGCCATTTTAGTTTATGTCGCTGGGTCATGGAGCCACTCAAGCCATCACATCACATGTCAGAGTGCGGTCTGGTTGTAATGTGCTACCCGTAGACCGAGACGAAATTCCAGCACTGTGAAAAAGAAATTTTTATTTGTTGTTACCTAGCGGGTGTTTTACGCAAACCACTACTGTAAATCATACGAAAATATGATTTCATGACTAAAGTATACCAGGATAAGAATAGTCAGATTTGCGCACGTTTGGTTGATAAAATCGATAAATTAAAAGACTCCTTACAATTCATATGACCGTGATTCTCGACCACTGATTCTCCAACTGGCAAGCTTTTCTCTAAAGGGGAAAATTGTTCTCCTCTCGTGTGAGCAGCATCAGTAGAAATGCGAACAAAATTCGTGTGTACAAATCATTTAACATTCTCACATAGGCCTCCAACTGCCTTTGTTATTAATTTTCCTTCTCAATCAGACACACGCACATGCACCATGAATTTAAACCAATGGTTACTTCAGATAGACAGAAGAAAAAATACCGTTCCCTCAATCAGCAGTCCCCACGAACTCACCCGGACTGATCGGTTATTTTTGCTCGTGCTTCTTGTACGGACTGGAAAAAGCATGCGTTCCAGAAACGGAGAGATTGCCAAATCGGTTGACTTTTGATATAATTGAACAGGAATGTACGATCTCCTGGAGAGCCGGGGTCTAGAAACGCGATTTGGTTGTAGTGGTGGTGCGGGGGGCAGAGCAGGGCAGGACGGAGGAAGATAAGTCGGAATAGAGTGATCACTGGCACTGCATAATTGCCATTTCTCGAAACGTGAGTTTAGCACATGCAAAGCACACGCACGCACGCACGCACGCACAAACGATGACATAAACACTTATGGATGCTCATATTCACATGTCTAGCCAGACTATAGTGTAAAACAGAACAATACGGTAATCTGAGACTCAGTGTTTGGGTGAAAAAAAAACGGTATACGCTCGAACGAAAGCGATTGGTCAAGGAATAATTTGTTCAAGGCTATTATGTTGAGAGATTGTGAAAAGTTCAGTAGCGTCGGTGGGCTTCCAAACCCACCACGCATGGACGCCGCCTACACCTTTTTCTACAACACACGCTCCCCACCAGCTGATGAGCTACGAGGCCACCGAGGTTATGGAATTTTTCATAATCTCAACATATAAACTTCAATCTGAAAAAACAAAAATGCAAGCAGTTAAGGCCATTGATTATGCATGTTACAGCACATCTTAATGTGCGATGCTTGGCCAGTATATATATATATATATTCGAAGACGAATTTGCCCTTAGAATCCTTTCCAGTACTCCAAGAGATAATCGATCATACCGACTTTTACGTTTTCACACCGATCAATTTTCGTCCAAATGTGTGCTGCCCTGAGAAGCTTCAGATAGTGAACTGCGCAACCTTACCGGTCCGTAATCAATTTCGTCACACAAATAAACGAGCATACAAAGCAAATTGTTACGAGTGAATCATTGCTCTCAGAAAACGCGAGACGTGTGAAATTAACTGTGATAACCGATGTAGAAACGGAATACGGACTTCGGATTGGCTTAACTTACTGGTCAAACTTTGAACGCTATGCACAGGTGGGTAGAAGCAGGGAGAATTTCAAGGTTTTTGACAGGGAAAGTTTTACAAGATGGGGCCTACCACTTCGAGGCACAGCACACTTCGCATTAGGCCATATCGACAAAGATAGTTTTCTTTGGAAACCCTAACCTTAGCTTTTGACTCAAAACTCTGACTACCAAGCTAATGGGGTGAAGACTGAATGCAAAGACGGGACCGAAACATCCGGGTGGGAGTTTCTACAGGCTTGTCTTGATTTGATTGTTGGTCCATCGTTCAGGCCAGATTTTAGTTTCATACACCCAATGAAACAGGTGGAACGTGAACGGGGCAGGACCTTATTGGTTGGGGACTGCCCAGTTTGGGTGAGTGGTAGCTGTCAAATGATATCCAAAAACCTCTCCTGCTGTATGGTGGTATACCCTCCTTCATTCATCTAGCGGGGATTCTTTGACCGGTCAACTGCCCCTCACTTTAGCTGATTGCTGGAGTGATCTTTCCAGAGGTGAAAGTGGATGGCTGAAGGAAAAGCTAGCTGATGCTTAACCATTTGACAGTGTGAGAATGAGCTCTAGCTGGAATTTGATCACTCCACTTTCAGACGTGATTGGATCTACATCTGTGAAAGCCATCATCATGTTCAGTTTGCTGGGTCACGGAGTTATGCAAGCACCATAGGTCGTCAAGGTGCATTCTCATCGTGATGAGAGGAGGCGTGAAAACACCTGGGGTCCTTTTTCTATCCTTAGGGGTCTCGCAAATGTCCCCTCCCCTCCCCAAATGGAGCTATCCGGATTTTCCCCTTTTGCTTTTGCAGTCGATCAAGAGATGCGTTTTTCATCCGTGCGGCTAAAACAAACTGGCAAGTATCTATCTGAAGATACACATTTGCGAACGCACAGAAGTGCTTCAAAATGCGACGAAGCGAGACAGAGAGGGTACATGATGAACTCGAACGGAGAGTGGGAGTGATGTGATCCACGTTGGATCGCCAGCCAGTTTCGCGAGTAACATCACCCAACGTTGATAATCGTCGTCAAATTCATGGCATGGTCTAAGGCTGACATCGTTTATGGAGAGAGAGAGAGAGTAGGAATCTTCCGGATTATTTGCATGGTTCACTCGAACAGCTGAACGCGAACCGGAAGCAATTAACTAGTTCAGTCTTAGTGTTTCGTCAACTGTTTCATGTTTGAAAATATAATACGATATTCAGTTGGAAGAGAGTGCCTCGAAATCACACGGATGATCTGACTGGGATTGTACCATGTAATTTGTGAATAGTCACATGACGAAGAACGGAACCGTGATGCGGGTTTGTTTGAACAGAATCAATGCGAACTGGCACACCGGGATCTCTCCAAAAACGTTTCTGACGGCACAACTGTAATTAGTGTACTTACAGGTATTGATCCAACTCGTACAACATGAATCTTATTTTGGAATTACATTTCAGTTTCCAGTATCATACATGTATATTACTGATAGCTCCGAGTGAATGACATTGATTCTGAACTCCATCCCCCCCTTCACTGCAATATTTATAGTTCTCTGGTAGCATCTTGATTGTCGCGATAAAATGTTTAATGGTTCGAAAGTTACAGTTCATAATAGAAAATACTTTGTGCAAAGCAGCATGGAAGTTCATTCTTTCTAATAAATGATTATTGTCTCATAAAAAATGAACCGGAATGACTGTGTGGGACCACTACTTATCGCCTAGATGGTGAATGCATGAATCTTCGATAGACTCACTTCACACTTTAATTGTTTTGTTATCAAATCCCTAAATGGATCATCGCAGCTGATAGGTGGACAAAACGAAGTAGAGGAACTAGCAGTGAACTGAATGGTATTCTCTTCTGACCCTCACTCGCTTCGCATCTCATCCCATCAATCAAATTGGTCGAAAGTAGTGTTGAGCGTCGAATAGAACAAACAGAACAAACACTTACCGATCACATAGAATAACAATGAGACTGTGAGAATTTTCTTGGCCGGGGCGAAATCTTCCGCGTCCTCACATTCGGTCAGTAGCAGACTGATTTTGTCTAACAGGGCTGGCAGTGCGCTCGTATCCAGTTGTCCTTGTGTCCTGACAGACTGCGGGAGAGCGCGCGCGAAGGCGTTTTAAAGAAAAACAGAGATAGGGCAGGAGAGAGATCACTTGAAAAAGAAAGGCACTTAAAAGGAACAGAGGAAGAAACCATGGAACCGGGTTGACTCTAGTGACTCCCTTGAGTGAACAGAAGATAATACAGTGTGGTGAAATGAAACATTCGTCACGATCGGGTGATGCGTACACTCAGACTGATGTGATGCAGTCACGGGGAAACGCGGTCTTGTTTCGTTTTAATCTGCTTTCGTGAAAACATCTCCGCTGGAAAATTCTACTAAGTTTTCAGAATGAAATTACTTGTGAACGTCAGAAGATGTTCTCGAATGATTTATTTACTCTCAAAAATGCACACACACACACACACACACACACGTGCGCACTTCATACAGACAATCTCAATTTCAGTTTGAGTTTATGCAATTATGGATCATTTGCATCTTTTTCCAACGAATTAAAGAATTAAAAACGCGCGCCTGTCTGAATTTACTGAACGTCTCTTCCAGTGGGTTGAATAAAAAGAACTGTATGGTACAAGAAATGGAATTTGGTGGTTGAAATCGAACTGCGCATCCGAAGCCCTCCGGCAAACGGACGCATTATCAAAGGGAAAAACAACTGGAATATCCGGTTGCTCGGTGGGCAGCTAACGTGGGTGAGCTTGATAGAAACCCATAGAAAACATGCCAAGCTATCTTTGTATGACATTCGTGTTTCAAGATACCGGCGACAGATGAATGAAATTAGGTAAGGTATAACAAGGTATAACAACTACTGTTACCTATTTTGATGTGTGTGGCCCCACGAAGGACAACTATGACGATACTAGAAGGGAAATCTAAAATGTGCAACTCTCGTAATTAAAAATCTTAAATATATTATCAACGGTAAATTGTTTTCCATTCATAAGCCCTTAAATAAATCCAGAATTGGTACCAAAAAACAGTGAATGATTACCGTTCCGTATCTTTACTTAAAGTGAATTCGGGTTTTGAAAGGTGGATAATAAACATCGTTCACAAAAATAAACCCCCATTATCATTGTCATTTGATACAATAACGACGGTTTAGGCTCGGGAATTGTGGATTTTGGATAAAGCTTGATGGGAAAACATTTGCTAACGGGGGTCTATTTGGAACGACATTGATTATCCTAAGGGGTGTCACACCTCATCTTTTGTTAATCAAGCTCTGCAGCAACTAAAGTTGAAAAATCGCGTATACTGCGCCGCTATACGGTCCGTTCCGCTTTACGGCTATGAGACCTTGAATTTGCGGGTAGAAGACACCCGTCGCCTAGAGGTTTTCGACAATCGATGCTTACGTAGTCTGGCTCAGGTTGGATGGAGTGAGCGGGTTAGTAACTCAGAAGTAAGTCGTAGGATTTTTGGGAATGCGTCCAACAAGTACTCCCAATCCCATCGAATCCAGTTCAATAGGCTCCGTTGGTTAGCACAGGCTTTGCATATGTCCGACGGTCGCTTATCGCAGCGTGCTTTATTCGCAGTGGTTGTTGCAGGCTGGAGAAAGCCACGTGGAGGCCAGCAGATGACTTGGAGACGAGGCTTGAAGAAATTCGCAGAGCGATTTGGTAGAGTAGATGTCTCTCGCCTTCCGGGTTGGGGTCCAAAAGACTCCGAACCCGCATGGTTGGAGGTCATGGCTGCGACCCAACAGCAAAAGGCGATCTTGCTGTTACTTCTTATTAGACCAAAATGCATGAAATAGTATGCATACACATTTGGGGTGTGTACTATGTGTGCTGACCATAGAGGTTCGCTTTCTTTTTCCGTCCTTGTCCTCCTTACACATTCTCACTTACTTTGTATGCAATATGAGTTTGGCAGCGAGCAGTGAAGTTCGCTTCACTGTATTACGCTCTACAATGCTGAATGATGATGATGCAGTAACAAAACTGGTAGAGAATAAAATGTCCCAGCATTCACATTTAACTCACAACTACTACTTGTGAGTAGCAGCGTGGGATAATTGATGTTGATTTGAACTGACCCTCAGACTTCAGACTTACACTCTTTCACGCCCAATCCTCAGTTCTCCCAAGAAAAACTGAGGTTTGTGCGTGAAAGACAGACAGTTCAAATCAGTTTTAACATTTGTTAGCCTCAGAGTATATTCCGATACTTTTTAATCTGGCTCGTCTACAGCGGTAGGACTCCAATCTATGCCTTAAGGTTAAGTAACTAGAAGTCTTAGTTAAAACACTGCGGGTTTTGGCTAAAGGATTACGGGTCGAAACTAAAGCTTGCCGCACCTACACACACACACACACACACACACACACAGTTGCACACTCTATGTATATCATTTCAATTTTAGTTTCAGTTCATGCAGCCACATGCCATTCGGAACAGGGCGATTGGTTTGTTCAACACAGTGTCAAGGTGAATTCCGGATAACTCAGGCTATAAAGATATTGGGCAAATCCACGGGCGTCACTGTGTTTAAAACACTCAGCTGGATCACTCGATATCTCTTAGCATCGGTTCGACTGATCCGGTGGTCTCCACCTGGGAGACGACTTGCGTGACCGAGTCTTATGTTCGAGGTATTTGTGCCCATAATTCAGTATGATCGATTTTTGGATACTGGTTTCTCCACGCCCACTCCGTCCATGTTTAGCTACCTGAAAAACAGCGAATTTTACCACGTCTTGAGCCCTCCGGGATCAAATTTTGACATGAAAAATGAGCTTATTTATTAACCTGTGACAATCGTTGCACCAACCAGTCAAATTGTTCATCCTATCGAGATGATGCATGTTAATGTGTGAAATTTCTTTTCATGAAAATGGGACATTTCATTCGTCCGACTGTTCCAATCAGGTGTACAGAAATGAAACCGAACATCTTCATTGCTTGATGTGCAATGATGACACGTTTTTTGTACAAATCGTTGTCATCGCTCTTTTTGTACCACATTTTGTGTGTGGCAAATTGATCGAAAAGTCACCCCTATCGAACAAAGTTGAACTGTTCCGATGCGACTGTCATGAGTAGTCTGCGCAATCCAGCGCAATCATTTGTTCTCCACCAAGATGTGCTGTTACGTAACCGACAGTACAGTACACCGGGGAGATTCGTACCGTACGCGAAGATAAAGTTTGTTTTCTTTTCCTATTTCACGGTTCGCATGACATCCAAACATCATACGGACCACGTTCATTAAACAACGACTAACATTTACATTCCGTTGTTTGAAGTAAATCGTTTGTTTATCGATTTTCATGCATCAATCAATACAATTCTTATTCGCTCTGCGCGATCTTCTGTTGGCGCATCGTTTGCGAGAATCGCGTGTTAGGCATAAGCCATATCATTGAATTTCAACCTGTTTCCGTTGCATTACTGTACCCGTCCGCCCATCTTTCCCCAACCAGTCCGTCGTTGAACAACGCCCAGACTTATCGATTCAAACATTTTCGAGGTCATTCTTATCCGACAGGTAGCCACCGATAAGAAATCTATACTTTTAAGGTTAAAGGTCCGGACGCACGAAGCCCGGAAGGATGCAGTGTGCATGCGCCTAACTAACTAATGTGTACGAGAAAAGAGATCAATGAGTGTTACAGTAAGTTGATTGGAGAGAAACCATAAAATATTAGACCAAATAATAATAACTTGAATATTCCCATGATAGTATTGAGAAAACGAGTCGGTGAGCAAACAATTGTTTTTGGATATTCCACCCCCGAATATTGACTTTAAAATGAGCCAATGGCTATGATTATGTAAGAATTTTTTCCACCATATGATATGTAAGAGCACGACCAGGAATATCCGAAAACAATTGTTTGCTCACCGACTAGTTTTCTCAAATAATAATAGGCACAAATGCAGATAAGAAGACAAAAAAAGCAAAACAATTCTGTGTAACCTGTTATATAAACGAAAATCATCAAAGGTTTTTCTAACGGTACACTTTGCAACTGGCATTTACACATTCTCACAAACGTTTAATGGGTAGCCATGTTAATAAGCAAATGGAAACTCATGAATTCCTAGAATGAATGTACCAGATATTAAGAAACTAGAATTATCTTGGAAAGTAAAACATAAAATCAAGCCTGCCGATGCTTATGAATCGGTGAATTACAGAAAGGTGTTTACCAAATGATGTAAGTCACTATTCTAAAGTGTAAAAATTTGAACCCTGGTATCTTCACTCAACTTTTCATGCTGGTAGACCGTCGTTCGGCCGAGATTTCTTATAGAACACTATAATCTAACTTCCCTCGCTTAGGATGCCGGTTTTAAATAACTGAACAGTGAATCGCCGCCAGCATGAGATCTATTCTATCTGTTGCTTGTGACAAACACTTAATCATTTGATCTTCGCTTCCTCAACGGGGTACCAGTTTGTCTACGAACGTGAGGTGAGAAATATGATTTGTTCACTAATCCGGTAACCAATAACGCTTGTGTTTTCTTGATCGTCATGTATGCTCATTCACATTTTAACTGCTCAAATGTGCGTGACACAAAAAACAGAAACTGAAAAATTAAACTGACACACTGATCCAATTACGCATGTAGCAACATACCTCTTGTTCAATCCGGTTGACAAACATGGTTCGACCGATTGACGTCTGCAAATAAGAAACAGAGCAAATAAGCAACGACACATTACACACTTTAATGGAAGCAAAAGCTATTCGGAGAGAAATTCTTAATGTTATTCTCAGGGTTTGGTTTCGTCGTATTTTGAGAAGATAAGTCCCTCTGAATGCGATGGAAGTGTTTGTGACAACCGACACAGAGCGCTGGACAGCTGTTCCGTCCTGTTTGGGACTTGTCAGCAGTACGTGTACTTTTTGTGTCTCCGTGTCAGGGCTCGAACATTTTGGTCGGGACTTCAAACTCTTACTTAGCCCTAAGCTACACGGTCGACTGTTATCACCTTGTGCGAATGGCTCAATCAATTTAGAGTATCAAGCTTGGATTAGCCTATTCGCTTGTTCAGAGGCACCATCGCATTTGAATGCATTTATAGAACAAAACAGCTTACCATTACTCTTTGTTGGTTATTACAAACCCCCACCCGAACATCATCAACAGTGCCCGGTGCCTGTGAATAACCGAATGGGCTAATCAAAACATTTACCATCTAGAAGTCCCTCTGCTTCAAAGCGTGTTCCGTACGAACAGCTGTGATCAACCTGCAAGATAAGGTGAGAGTGTAACATAGAAAATCTGATTTGCCTTTCTGTCATTCAAGCAACAATTCCGGGGGAGGGAGGGGTCTCCGTGATGAAATCAATACTATTTATGGTCATTAAATCAAATGAACATATCAATTAATCCCTTATGAAGTGTTGTGACCGTAACACAGCATTCAGTAATAAATCAGCGTGTCCATAGCTTTCTTGTCTGATGTTGACTGCTCACAGACACAATCGCGTCATGGTGATTCGGTCTGTTCCAGGATCGATTTGCCTCGGCCAATCAGGCGGCACAATTGAACTATCCGCGCTAGCGGATTGATTCATTGTATACTTGACCATCCGGCTTGGGGACAACAATAGTCTGACTCCTTCCGGTTCACACAATCCGTAACCTTGATTTTTCGTACCACGATTTCGTGTCATCATCACACATCACAGCGAAATACACGGAAGCGAACTTCACTGATCGCTGCCAAACTCACAATGAATATGCATTGCGGTTTGATGGACGTGTAATGCTAGTTTGTCCAACCACTAAGCAGTTTTCGTATATCATTCTCTCGTTGCCGATTTGGATGATGGATAGGAGGAAGCAGTGGACTTAAACTAAATTTGATGGAAAAATTTGAGTAGACGCACGAATGTCATTGTTCACGACACTCAACAATATCACGCAGTGTCCCAAACCATGCATTCGAGTCATGTTTTAGGCCCAAACAGAGAAGCATAACGACATCTGGGTCCCCGAAAGGGAAACCTAACAACTTCTTCGTCCTAGCCTACCAATCGGGTTTTCCATACATCGTATTATGAAGTTTTCATTCGATCACTCGACTTACATTCCCTACCCCAGAGATAGCTAAAATCGCATACCCGAGGAGCCGAGCTGATCACGTGTGAAAGTAACACATGTTGTAATCATTTTGGTCCAGGGAGGTCAAGAAGTTGTGCAAATCAACAATCTCGATTACCCACTACACTTCCTTTTACTATTACTGGATTACTGGTTCAGTTGTGCCCCAAAACAGATGTGAGTAATGAGGAGTGGACAACGTGGTTCGAAACCCGATAGACCGTATTTATCCTTCTCCATCATGCCGGAAACCCAGCCGGACAGCTGAAACAGACAGCCGAGTGTCGCGCAGTGAGCCAAATGTGTGTCCTTAGTTGGTAAATACCAGTCGAACCTTCTTTGTGGGTATCGATAATTCATTCACGATGTGTCTACCAGGTGAAATATATATCGGTCTAAATAAAAATGTTCTCTAATCTCCCTCTTTCGTCGTGTATAGAGCAAATAAAGCGTGAACGAAAAAGCTAGGAAGCACTGTACGGCAATTTCGGCCTGGTTGGGTTTCATCCTCAGTGCGATTTCATCAGCTCCACCGGGGATCGAACCCGGGACCCCCAGGCAGAAGGCAAGAACACCATCCACCGCATATTACAACTCATCTTTGCAAGCTTGTTGAGAGCACTGGGTCTCGCTCATTTCGGAACTAGCCTTTGGGATTATGACTCGGTTGGAAACTTTCACAACCTGACTAATTGTTACATGAGAGTAATGGAAGATTTAATTCAATTTCGTAGGGGGATTCGTCGTGTATGAATGAACGAATGAAATAAGAATGATTTTACGAGTTGGACCAACCCAGCGTCGTATAACAGGCAAGCAAATCAATGTCACAAATTTCAATCACGCATTCATTCATTCTCGGCTACTCAATCGGTCACGATACAGTTCATGGGTTAGCTCTTTTAGCCTCCAGGTAATCCGATGACGCACAAAACTGCCTGCGATCTCCGTCGCTTGGTTGGTTGTTGTGAGTGGTCGAAACGAATATACAAGTGTTGCTTCGTAAAGACGATTCAATCACAGGATGTTAGACCCCGGTTGTTATCTACAACAGGAGCGATAGGAATTAGATTACATAACCCTCTTCTATCGACGTAAAAACCGTTTGTACGTTCCCCTCAGCCTCCTTTGATCACGTGTTCCAATCATCCGTTGAGCTTATCCCACTTTGTGAACAAAAAACACCAATTATGATGTCAGTATTTATACATTCACAGCTCATCTCTCCACTCTTGCTCACTCAGCACCCTCTGTCTGTCTGTCTGTCTGTCTGTCTGTCTGTCTGTCTGTCTGTCTCTGTCTGTCTATTTGTCTGTCTGTCTCTGTCTGTCTGTCTGTCTGTCTGTCTGTCTGTCTGTCTGTCTGTCTGTCTGAACGAATGAATGAATGACAATTTAACGATCTGTTTTTCAATTACTCTCTTTTTCTCTGTGTTGTATTATGCACTGTGATTAGTCAGTAGATAAGGCAAGGTGTGTTTGTTCCCTCCCACACACACAGTTTTTTTTCAATTAGATAATATCATTATGAGCAATTCCAGTGCATCTCAACTTACGGTAAGAATATCTTGCAATTCTGTTTCTCTGTCCGGAACTTGATTCCATCTGGAAAAGTGCAGAGAATTGCAAGGGGGAAGAAAGATTATATAACCAATTCTTCACATTTTACATCAAGCCGAAAAACTTCAAATCTGCCAAACAACAATTTGAACAATAAATAATTGTAATGAATGGTACACCGTTGCATATTTAAAAACAAGAGAAATTTCCATGAGATCATTCCGGATGAAGTATGTTACTTTTGATCCAAGTCACGAATGTTGCTTAGGTTGATATGACTAATTAAAAAGGCTTTTATTTGAGGGGGGAACGAGGATAACCAATTGATAAACAATGATTTGGTTCAATCACGTTGGATTTGTTCATGGTACTACCATGAGTTACCAAGTCTCCCTGTATTTGCTTTACTGTTGATTGTGCTTAGCGGTATGGTATATATATATATATATATATATATATATTCAGTCCAAACGAGACTAATCCTCAGTTATCAGAGGTACGAACCGATTCTCGCAATGAATACTCTGATCATCTGACTTCGTAATCATTCGTACAACCTCCACAACCGTGCATATTGCTTGTAGTTCGGTCGAGGAAAACAATTTTGAATTGTCGCATAACATAAGAGTAACAATCTTCCGGTTAAAACTCAAACGAAGATGGTTTGCTCATATTCACTCATGGTATGTTCACATTCGAGGTGAATTTCAAATTTTATGGAAAAAATGTTCATTGATTAGAATTGAACATTGTCCAGGGTTTACATTCACGCACATTCCACAGCTCTTTCAGTCAACCATACACTCGGAAGCAATGGGCTCGAGCTTCGCTCTTATTAGAGCTCATCGGTAGTGTGTATCCACCGTTCCATCCAGGAATTGAACTCCGGACCCATCGTATGGAAGGCGTATAAGAGGTGAGGAAGAGCTGAGGAATGTGTATCAAGGTGAGGTCTGAAGAATGGTCCGTTCAAATCAGTCAGTATCAATTTGGTCCCACAAAACTACTCGTAAGTAACTGTGAGTAAAATGTGAATGATAAAAAATACTTTAACTAGGAGAATATGTGTGCCGATCATTACTAGATTTCACAATAAAAGCATGAATTGAAATGAACAAACGGCCCTTATGAATAACTGAAAAGTTTACCCACAGACGGGAAAGAAATTTAAAAGGAAAAAAACAACAAAGTCAAACAGTGAAAACACATCTGGATCAATAAATTTAGAAATAGCTTAGTTTAATTAAAAAGGAAACTTGTCTGAGTTTCCGTATCTGATTGCTTTTTCCCAAGACAAAGATGAAGGTTGGGAAACGAAGAAAGGATTATTGTCCAGTACCGATAGTAGGCATTAGGCGAAATACTCCAAAAGGAAGCTCAAAACCATCTTAATCACGTGATCTTCCGGAACAGAGTGCTCCAAATGTAACCCCGGATATTTCTTCAAAGGCGGAAACACAAAGCTTAAGGAAAAATTAAAAAAAGTTTTTCAAGGGGAGGGAGACAGACACTAAGACAGAAGAAACACTCCAACAGAAGATTGGTTTTTACCCACTTCTCATTTTGCATATCATAATGTGGGTCCCTCAAAGGGTAAACAAATGAGTAATGTTCATATACTGTTTAAGTTCTTCTTACGAAATGATTGTCTCTGACAGAGAAATGAAAATTTGTTGATCGTTGAGCAATATTGTTTACAGGGGACGTTATTGGGAGGTAAGTGGGTCAAGACTGATGAAGCCACTGCGAACCAATATCTCCCTATCGGAATNGACCTTAATTGTGTCTGACGTAAAAGTTAATCCAGATAATTCAAAGTCATAGGGCAGTTGCTACGATATGCAATGCAAACTGTTTGCTGCTCGTACATATCTTACTAGCTTCTAGACTTGAAATTCGGTTAACCAAATTGCTGACGTAACTCATGTCCCTATCCGGACCACAACAAACCTCATTCAAGAGTTCGGAGAAACCTTCACGTATGTAACCCGTAAGCCAGATATTTCAGGTATTGAGTTGGGCAGGGGGGGAATAAGCATAACTGTGCTATGTTGTTGACGGTGGTGATGGTTGTCAATCAGTTTGAGNCTACCCTAATTTAAGTGCAGACAGCTTCGCTGTCAACCGGCTCAAAACCACACCTATGCTTGTGAAGCCCTACGTGCTTCGCCGTCGCAAGTCCATCGGGGAGGTAAGTTGGCTGTTTCCCATAATTAAACTGCGGGTCTTCGTGATCATGGAATTTATCCCTTTGGATATTTCGCACAGAATATTATGTAACTAAAACAAGTAATATCACCGGTTGATAGCACCCTACAAACAAATGGCATTCCATGTCAACCTGACTTGGCCGTAGTAATTAATAGTCACAACTTAGAAGAGAATCCTTTCGAGGAAAGACACACAGCGATCTGGTCACATGACTGTACACCGAGTGCCTCAAATTCAACAACCGCGCGTATCCGGTAATGTTTAGTCAGATCATTCATATACTTGTACCCAGGAGGTGGATTTTCGTCACAATAACCTTGTTTGCAACACCGGGTGACTATTGGATAGACAGTTCTTTCAGAGCCAGTCCATTGAAGAATCAATGCTATGATTCGATGTTTTGTAAATGGGTTAGATGCTACTAACCGCAACAAACGGACCTGATGGTCTTGGTAGAATATTTCATAATAAATAGGATGTGAATGACTGACGAGCGGCAAGAACCGCGAAACCGGTCGTATCCTTCCACGGCTATATANATATATATATATATATATATATATATATATATATATATATATATATATACCGATATCTGATTGGCCAATTAAAGCTCAGTTAATAATGATGATAGGGGCGAGCAAACAGAATGCGGTAAGGCTAGTGATAGTCGTGGTGGAAGTGAGAAGAAAAACGTCAAATCGAAAATGAAGGTTGTGAGATAAGGCGAGAGAGTGGAATGGGTTTATGCAAGATACGGTGGAAACTATATGTCATGCATAGCAAGTGATGTAATCGGGATGGGACAGTGAAAACGAAAATTAAATAGTTAGTCCTTAGTTAGTTCGTTCTTAAGATTGTGGCTGATGATACTGGATGAGGAAAAGGGTGGGTGAGGAGGAGGAGGGTTGATGCTCTATTTTATGCACAACCAATCCATTGTCTAAGGCAGGGCAACAACAGTGTCCGGACTAGCTATATTTTGTTTGCTGGATTGAAAATTCGAATTGCAATCGCCTCGGTCGTGGTTAAAAGACGCCTTCTTATTCCCTTAGAATACCTCCGGGATATAGTGTGAATAATTTTGAATGCATCCACCTTGTGCATAACATTCCCGCTATCGATGAGACGACCGAGAACCGAGCTGCGTAAGCATATAACCGTTCCTTTGTAGAGGGCCGCAGGACATTACTCAGCAACACGTTTTGATAATCGCCTGGTCGTATTGCCAATGTATCGCACACTACAAGTGCGCTTGAAAAGATACAAAACGAGGGATCTGGACTGATGAGGCAACTTTATTTGCTGGGACATCAAGGTCCAAGTGGTAGTGAGGATATACATTTGAGCTGCAAGGAACGTTCTAGAGATCAGTTTGGACAAATGTCTTTCGAGCAGTTCCAGGGCATCGTTGACCTTAAACGGCACGGTAAAGAAAACTTTCTTACGAGGAACGGTCGGATTTTGTTTGTATTGGTTTTCAATCCTGTATGTTTATCAACAGAAGCTTCCGGGTAGCTACCTTAGCTCACAACCCTCATTTTAAGTGTGAAATTGTTCAAACGCGTGTAAGTATTGGGAAAGACAGCCCAAGATACATCGTTTCATTACTCTGACAGACTTGACATCTCTGTATTGGGACAGCTTCAAGACCCCTGTCAGATTTGAAATTCGAAACCGAATTGTTTGTGAATTGAGTCCCGACTGGAACACGCATTTCTAATGCGTTCAAACAAGGAAGAAACGGTTGTTAACTATCGGTGGCCGACCAGCACACAACAACTTAAAAGTTCCGAATGAATTTCCGAAGCTGTGCCATGAATGAATGGCAAACTGTTGTGTTAAAACTGTTTAAGACAATGTTCCGATGGTTTTCAAGCAAGAGTGGTGGTGGCGCCGTGGTTTAGTCGCTGTCACAGGCGTGCTTTGGGCCCTATGATGCGAGGTTCGAGCCCCACCATCGCCACCCGACTTTGGTGGTAGGCAGCTCTGCTGTCGTCCGGTTCCATACCACGCCTAACCTATCGGGGCCTTATGTGGTTCGCCACTCCAAGTCCCGGGGCTTAGATTCCCGGTTTCCACTACTGTACAGCAGGTCCTCGTGACTATGGGTTTCACCCCTTCTACTGCTCATCAAGCTTAGGTGTGTAAAAAATGTATATGTTTAACATTCATTGAAAATGCTTTTAGTCCACTCACTTAAACGTTTTCACAATAAAAGGATAACCACGCTTGATTGCTAGTGATAAAAACAATCTCTAATGTGAAATATTGAAGGCAAAATGCTTCTATAATGCTTTTTAAAGGACCTAAACATAGTGACCAAGAAAATTTATCTCACCAGACGGCTTTTCTTTGAAATTTCGCTATAAACGTCAGTGGTTGTCTTTAATTAAAATGAAATACATCAAGACAGTTTTAATTAAAAAGATATTGGTTTGCTTGTTTGGTGGGCGGAGGGGTGGCAATGAGGTAGAGGCCGGTATGCACTCATTGATGTAACTGTTTTATCTGAGTACAAACAGTTTCACACTCATTCCGAATTTCTAAAGAAACTGAAACTTTGACTAATGTGATTATATTCTCCTCTAACATGCGGTACCGCTTCATCAGTTCCCTTGTCGTTAAGTTCTGCCGACTTCAGACACTCGTTTGATGTGAAGCAGTAGAGCTAGACTGAGCAGTCACGTGATTTGGAAAATGAATTACATGGCAAGTTTCAAGTCGGAACTATTGTTCACTCGACCACATTTTGCAAGTCACAGATTCAATCTATAGAAAATCAATATTCGCGGCCATGATGTCCGTCATAGATCAGACATTGTTTTGACTAT